ACCAGCCGTTATCTGTGGTGGAGAACGTGGGGTTTAAGGGACAACTTGAATGCTTTTCTCCTTTTTTTCCTCTTAATGCATTGCATAAAGATCGGATCGGGAAAAATCGGTATCGGCAGATTGTCAAAATCAAATGATCGGAATCGGATCGGGAGCAAAAAAAGGTGATCGGGACATCCCTACTTATAGATGTCCCGCCTCTTAGCCTATCACATAGAAGGTTTTGGAGCGCTATCCAATATTAGCGTGAGTGTCTCATAGTGATGTCACTATGTTCCCGAAGAAAAAAAAAGATTCCAATAGAGGTGTTTCAAGCAGGGGGGAGTGTGTGGGAGACCAAATCCCTCTGGAGGAAACGTTGGGAATTTTGGCTTTGCAAACCATTTACATGCAAACAAAGCTATAACTTTAAACTATAACTCACTTCAGGGAAGGGAAAACCCCAAAAAGCATAACAGGGTTTCTTTAAGTAGCATTTTGAATTCAGGGATTTGACTTGTAATATTTCTCCTTTTGATTAAGTAAAGGATCTGAGTACTTCTTCCACCTCTGTATACAGCAGAACTCTGTGGCTGGATCCGAAAACATTTTAATAATACAACTGTACAGTGGCTACCATATGCCGGGCTCGGCCTCAATAACCTCTGCCCTTTGTAGAGGAACTGCACTTACTAATCAAGACTTGTGTGTGCCGGGCCACAGACCAGCCGCGCTTTACAACGTGGAACTGTCACAATACAAGTCATCACTTTGAATCACAAAACACTGATCACAAAAGATAAAAATAACCTTTGAAAAAGAAGGGATGGGGGTGGAAATTGAACTGTACACAGGGACGTAAATAGCCATCCTAGATTTTAACAGTGACAAGAAGACGGCAATTGCAGCCTCTATTTTTAGGCTCGCCGGTGGCCTGGGCTGGCAGCTTTGGGGAGGATGTGTACTTTTCTTCAGTTCCTTTCCAAAAATCAACGCTGTCCTCACTGGCGACAATCACAGAGCAGCTGTTGTGGCTAGGTGGCCTGGCCCCGGCGTGCCTCACCCTGTTGCTCTCTGCCAGCTTTTGAAAAGTGCATTCAATGCCCAAAACTCACACCCGGGCCACAAAAACAGACAGAAAAGCGTGTGTGACCTAATGTGTTTTCATCCGGTGAAATTTCCGCAAATTATGGAGGTTTTATCAACGCTGGTGGCAGCGGTAGTGATTGAGAGGGGGCTGGTTTCTAAATGTACATAAGGCAGGATGTTTCGGAGCCAATTTGTTTAAAATGACAGACACACAGAGACCTACACGACCTTGCACCAGACATATGTGACTGGTGAACTGATAATGACCTGTGATTTGTGATCTGTGATTTGTGATCTTGGTTTGCACCATGTGCTTCTGAGAGTGAGGATCAACTTGTATTGGTGCAACAGCTTGGGTGAAAAGTGTAATTAAACATTGACTCAATTCTCTGCGAAACCCCCCCCAAAATAAGTCACAGTCTCCACACGCAGACAATTCTAAGTTACGAAATAATGGAAGGTAAATGTCACATATACAATTTAAAAAGTGATACTTCATGAAGTCCACTAAATTGTATCTCACTCATTCCATTCCAAACCGACCCCTACACCCTACCACTCTGTGACATAGGGAACTCCATCTGTGGTCACACTCTGAGCTGAATGAGGGTCCTTCTTTAAGGTGTAGGATGTAAATACAGCAGCAAGCTTCGAGACAAACTCTCTCTCCGGCATAAACTGTCATAACCAAAAATCTTTAGTGGCTTTTTTTGCAAACCTTTTCTTGCTTTAAATCTGAGGATTATTAGCTGCTTTAGCAACCGTACCTGTATATATATACAACTTTAAAATGAAATGCACATGTCTACCATTTTTTAGACTAGACATGGGTGTACATTAAAATACAATACAACAATTCAAGTTGTTACAATCTGTATAACAAAATAAAATGTTATACTTTACTAGTACATTTTTGCAAGGAACTATTTGTTAGTTCTGGACCCATGCAGACTCGCTGTTGGAGGGTTTAATACCTCCCAATCCCCACTAGTTGGTTTGAAACTAAATGTGGCGGACCCTCATAGCGAAGTGTAGATGGTAGGGAAAGGGTGTTAGGGTTCGATTGGAATCAACCCAAAGAGTCTCTCCTCTTCTCAGGTCATTGATTTTCTGGAGAGCTAATCTAGGCCTACCTGCCAACTTGTGGATAGATAATGGAATATCTGGTCTCATTTGAGAAAAAGAAAGGAAATCTAAGGAAGAGCAGGCAACTACATGTCTACAGTGTCATCAGTCATGACGGGTACTAACAGCGTTGCACCTGGTCAGGTAAGGCAGATGGTCAGAATCGATGTAGATTTGGTGTTATTTGTATTCCCTGCTGGCTTGGAACGGCACGGAATTTGCGGACCCGCCGAGCAAACGTGCACAAATTAAATGACAAAGGAGGCGGGTGTAGGGGCTAGTTTGGAATTGTTGAAAGTAGTCTTTTTTATTCGGTTAGCTACTGTCTATATGGTACAGATTACAACCTTGACAAAAGGGGTGTTAAAACTTCCTGTGGACTGTCTAATACACTTAGATATAAAAGTTATGTTTAAATGTTCTGAGTCAAGCAAATATTAGTATTCTTTCATTTTTTCTATTTAAATAAAGATTAGTTGTGTACATAGTTTATCTTCTTCAAATGTACACACACACACACGCTTGTGCACACACTCAGTAAGGTATCACTTGGAGGACTAATTGTTGACAGGTGGCCCTAATGCTTTTCTTTGAAACACAAGTGTGATTTACGAGCATGCTCCCCGAGACCCCGGCTTTCAGTGCTGCTTCTACTACAAACCCTATCTTTCTCCCCCTCTGTCTGTCGCTCTTCCTCCTTCGTTCCCCCTGTACCATCTCTCCTTCACTTTTCTCAATCGTACCTCATTACTTTGCTCCCTCACTTTCACCTCATACCCCACTTTGATGTTTCTGTCTCTCATCGCAGCAGAGCGGTGACTCTCCAAAGTAAGACATCCTTTTAATGTTTGATGGCCTATTTTTCACAGAGTGAAGGAATGTGTGTGTCTGTGTGTCTGTGTGTCTGTGTGTATGTGTATGTGTGTGTGTGTGTATGTGTGTATGTGTATGAGTGTGTGTCTATATTTGAGTCTAGAGGTTACAAAGGAGTCTGGGTCCAGACAAGGAAGACAGGACGGAGAAAGAAGGCAAGGGCGTCATTTTTCAACCAAGAGTACAAAAATTGCAATATTTATATATTTTGTCATATTGGTAAATGTTAATATAAAAGAAAACAGAGGATAATCCCTCTGGATGTTTCAGCACATTAATGCAAATGTATTGTAAACAATATTATCCTAAATTAGACCTGTTGAGTTTGCAACAGCACATTTTCCTGCTACAACTACAGATAGTAGTAGTGGTGCAGGAATGAGTACTATAACGTGTAGATGGGTCAGCTTTTTATCACTTACAGTTTCCCCGTCCTGAATTGTGTTTCATGTTAACAACATGAAACACAATGAGACTACTAAACGTCATCAGGCCAATCACAAGTCTACCTTTAGCTTAGACGTGCTGAAGATGTTTCATGTAGTTTGTTAATGGTTAGCTTTTTACTCCTGGTGGTTGTATTCACACTTTAACTATCATGAAGTTGTTTTAGTATGTCAATATGATAATATGAGATTATCCTGCCAAACTAAATGTGTTATTATCATACACGTGTCTGCCAAAGATCTTTATTTTCTGCTATACTCCTTAATCCAATGCAGAAATCTATTTGCTTTTAGTTGCAGGAGCCCTTGTGATGCTAACTTCTGGGTCTGCCTACAAAAATATGTCACCATTGCACCACTCTATGTCACCGATTATCGAAAAATGCCATTCCCTCTTAAAATGTTACAGTTTTTTGAAGGCTAACGTTTTCCACCCCTTTAAGCTAAAAAGCATGTGGTGCAATGGGTGTATAAAATATGTATAATACAACATCCTTGGCAGTTTACTAAGAAGAAAATGCTTCCATACCACTAGACTACTTACTGTAGGTTGTTCGACTCATGTTGTTTCTTCAAAGCCATGCTTTTTACAATGACAATAAATGAACCTTAAACCTTGTTACATGATTTCCAATGACCAAACTGTCAATTCCCAGTCATCTGGTTCGCTGAAGTGTTTATCAAGGTCTTGACATCACCCTGACACATTAGTTAAAGCTCAGGGGTGTTCTTGGAAAGAAATGACTTATGAGAACTGTTTTATGTCATACTAAGTAACACCTATGGGGTCAAGCAGTGCTGCTTACACAAAGTGTGTGTTTTTCAGAGTTTATCAATGTCAAATAGGGACACAGCCAGTGGGAGCAGCCATCGGTGTTGTTTGACAAACAAGGTGAACAAGGTTTTGGCAGACAGATCAGAATCCCAGGAATAGAGCTACTCGGTGACCACTCACTGGAAACACACACACAACTGGAGTCAGTGCCTGGACCTGTCGTTAGATTAGAACAGTTGTATCTTTTGAGGCCCATGTCTAATTCACAAACTGGTGGGTACAGCACCTTTAAATCTACAGGGACAATGACAACTTTGCAATCATCATTGATTATCATGCACTATTAATCTACCGATACAAATGAAACATTATCAATTGTTCCTTTTTTGTTTTGTTTGATGGTCTTGGGATTGGCTACCAATCATGTTTTAGAAGTTTAAGAGGCTAACGCTAGTTTGTCGGTAAACAGGTATCCTTCAAAGATGGTCGACTTGTTGATAATGTCACATTCTTATTCCCTATTGCAAAAATATGTGAATGTAGTTAATCAAGCTTTCTATCATATTTTTAACCTTCAATGATATGAATCTGAGAAATCTAGATAACCTCCTCCATGCTGCCTTGCACCAAATGCGCATTAGATGCCAACCTCAACACGCATAGGTAACAAAAACAGCAAACCTTTCAGTTCTCCTCCCTCCAAAGCTCCTTACCATGCAGTGGAGACCCCGAGGGGCTGCTGGACATGCCAGGTATGGGGCTACAGCGGCCCCCGATGCCTCCTCCTCCTCCTCCCAGGATGCAGCCACCTCCTCCGATGCCTCCAACTCCTGCTCCTCCTCCAAACGCAGCTACCCTGTTCAGCTCCTGTTCAATGTCCTCCAAGCCGGCACTCTTTTGGAAGCGAGACATCCGATTTACCACCCGAGGTGACATGTGGGTGCGGGCACAGGGTGCACCGCCATAGGGGTTGATGGGAAATACATGGGTTGTGCCTCGAAGGGTGCTGATGGTAACCCAGCGACTGTCCTGACTAAAACACATGTCTTGGACCTGGACAGAGACAGGGCAGGAACAGAGAGAGGACAGATGTTAGAGGGGGGTCTTGGGACAGCAAAATGATGAAATAAAGTCACTGTAGTTCCACTCACTATGCACATGATTACGTTTTAAATTCCTCGAACTACACATAATTTTCACTCAAGCTGGTGGGCTAGCCTTAGGTCCTAGCTATGTTAGCGTATTCTGTATCTGAGCGGTCAGTCCACCATTGGTACCTTGGTCCAGCTGGTCTGCCTTATGAGTCTCGGGAAGCCATCATTTCAAGGTCTGCTGCACTTTATAAAATCCCCATACTTCCTTTTCTAACGCCATATGTGCCCCAGTAAAAACAAAAGACTAAAAAAGAGCTACGGCTGCTTAGAAACCTTTAAAAAAAAAGAAAAGTGTTCCCTATTAGCAAGGCTACCAAAAACACTCTGACATACTCCCAAAAACTTGATGTTTTTGTTATGCTTTTACTGTGTTGATGTTTTCATTATGTGCCTTGTTGACTGAATTTACATGTAGAAAACGTAGACATGTTTTAAATGTCTGTAAAACGTGACGTTGTTCTGAACTCGGGTGACAGAGTGTAAGAAATAGAGAAACAGTGATTATTTAAAGACATTGTAAGTGCCTTAGCAAATGACATGTGATTTAAAGTAAAATATGTAAATTGTCAGTATGAAACAACAACAATTGAATGAATGACAACTTGTTGGTTATGTTTCATCTTTGGATTTTAATATATATGATTACTGTTTTAACTGGCGGTGAACTTGTAACCATCCTTGAACAAACATTTACATACAGTCGGCTCACTAACTCCCAGATATTTGGTTTCAGCAGCTCCAAGCTACTTCTCTAGACTGCCATTAACCCGGATGGATGGATATTTTGAACAAAGGCTAAATCCTCTGTTCTGTATTATTTTCTTCAAAACGGGGATAAACGTCAGCCAAAACATTGTCAACACAGATAATTCTACCTTTTTGGAGTGCTTGACAAAATTCGACCAGGATGAGAAGATTAGACAATAAATGAGGAGATATGGAAATATAGAAAAAGTCAGAATTGTGAATAAAAAGGCAGAATTCTGTCTGTAATCTCAGAATTTTGATAACCTCAGAACTCTTGTGGTCAGATCTCCCCAAAAAAATCACATGTGGCCCTAATCCTCTTCCTTAGATACATGCTTGTTAGCATTACAAATAAATAGTTTGATGGCGATCTTTGTTAGTTTTATTCCTCAAACATAGACCTAATCTCAGGCAGAAGACCCTTCAGAAGAAGGATCTCCCTGAGCATCAGCCATGCAGGAAACCAGCCAGATGACAAAACAAGCAAAGGAGTGATGTGACCAACTGATAAGGTTGGGCGGCTGTGGCTCAGTGGATAGAGTGCTGGACTTCAAATCTGGGGGTAGCAAGTTCGAGTCCCACTGCAGTCAGCATGTCTTTGTGTCCCTGGGCAAGACACTTCACCCCAAATTGTTCCTGTGGGGATTGTCCACAGTACTGAATGTATGTAAGTCGCTTTGGATAAAAGCGTCGAACAAATGACATGTAATAAGGTGAAAGTGTGCTCATCTATTATTCCACATTCCATAAAAAAATTAGACCCAGTAGACTTGACTGCGGTAGAAAAAAAAGGAAAGTTGCTGTGAAGAATGTCTAACCCTTTAGCCAGCAAGCTAGCCAGCCAATCAGAAAGACATTTGTGTACCTGTAGGCCTCTCTTATCTTTCGCCAAGTCGAACTAGGTAATTGCACCAAGCAATGACAGTTAATGGGGCATCCTCCGAATACCAGACAGTTACTTTACTTCACAAAGATGAGTGAAAGAAGAGGCATGACCTCTTCTTAGGCTGATTATGGAAAGCTTGGCGATGAGAAAGGGCTACTTTGTGCACACTGTAATTGGTCATAATAGACCTGTCAGAGCTTCAACTGTATATTGGCGACTGGACCGTACTGTCAAATCTATTTTATCAGACAGCGGGTAACCTTGAGGGTGGCTGTTATTGTACAGTCATAGCGTGCCAAACATGCATATACCAAACATTTGCCAATTGGTATCTTAATAAAGTCTCATGCATGTGCTGGTGTGGAGGTTTCACATTCCAAAGCAGCTACGTCATGTTTTCATTCAAGGAATATTGACATCCTAGGCAGCCAGAGAGATACCAACAAGACATGGTTAATGCTTGTGATTCTTATTTTCTTAATCAGTGAAGTAGATTAGGCAGCTATGTTCACCTGAGTGAAACTCGGAAGAAATGAAAAGCATGTGACAAAGATGGACCGACAGATAAAATGGAATAGACACAACAAGAATGCGCTTGGATAGAACTCAAGTGTGAGAGCATTAGAAAGTGAATACAAGGAAGCTGTAAATATCAGAAAAATAAGCAAACAGGGGGGTTGTGATTGGAATATCCCTCATCTTTTTGGGTCTGTTGGTTGATATATCAATCTGAACAAACAGCCATGACACGTGGAGTCCACCAAGGGTCTCTACTTGGTCCTGCTGTATTCTAAATCTACCTTTTCAGAACACTTCTGCCCACATTCTCACTAAAGCCGAAAGTAGAACACATCATCCGAGTGAAGAGCCTGACTGCCAAAAGCTCAAAAACATGTAATTTCCTAATATTTTCAATAAGCTTATTATTATCAACCATATTTATTACTATTAACATATTAATAGTTGAACTAATACAAAAATCCCTAACATTGCTACTCAATTACTCCCGACGTATATGTTTAAAAACCATTAAAAAACGTTTTCCTAATATCAGTTTTCACAGATTCAAGTGCTATCTGTGGCCTGTGTGGTTTAGTTAAACATATTGGAATTGATACATATAGAGAAAGAGCGTATTTGCAATGTGTTTGGATTGAGTAACCGGGTTAATATAAAATCTTATAATCTAATATGCAGATGTCTAACTTTCCTTGAAGAATTTATTTTAAACTAAAGCTCATTTGATGCATTATCCAGAGTTTCTTATGTTCAGCTTTCAAAACCAATGTGCATGTAAACACATCAGCCTTCAAAACACAAATCACTGCAATCACAGCTGATCGTGCAGGGCTGCAGAGTAAAGCAGTGCTGGAGTTTCACCCCTGTAACCTCAGTGACTAGCACTTTCCAGTTTGCCCCGTGGCTCCGCTCTGATCTACATTCTGGTCCTCCTTCAGTCCCTTACATGTGTTATCAGCTAAGGTCTGTTTACCTGGCCTCGGGTCACTGACAGCCAGCCGCATGTTTGGCCGCTAAAGACAGATAAGGCGTCTCTCAACCCACCTAACTGAAGACTTTATCACTCTGTGTGTGTGTGCCTGTGTGTGTGTGCCTGTGAAGGTGATAACCCCTGGCCAAAGCGTTAGGCTAGGCCAGCTTTCAGTGTTTACAACAGGCAGGATCAAAGCAGGCTCAGTGTGCAGCCGGTCAGCGGACCTGCCGTTTGGTCATACATTAACCAGGCTGTGAGAATGTGTGTGTGTGTGTGTGTGTGTGTGTGTGTGTGATAGTATGTTTTACCAGTCAATAACCCTGAACCGAACAAGGCCTGAAGTAGTTTTGTTGAGTAAGCACTTGCAATGCAAGTGTGTCACGGGTGAGGAATATTCAAAATAGGAGATATTAATAATATGTTTAATTTGTGATTTCTGTTAACTCATTATGTTCCTGCTAGTCCCCTAATAAACACAATGTGGATGTAGTGTGAAGTATATGTGTGCCCCTGACAGCTTCTACTGGCACAGGTGCATATCATTTACTACTAACAATAGGATTGTAGTTTCAACCGTTCATCGTCATGGTCTATAGTTGCAGCAGTAGTACAGTATTACAGCCTTCTATAGTACACAAATAGTCTAGTGATAGTTTACTGTGGGTACATTGCATACAGGAAACGTAAATAGGTTATTCTGCATACTTCCTCTGCGTTTCTTTTTTAAAAAAAAAACACTTCTGGAACTGGAACTTGATTACTGCTTCATATTTGCTCTACAAAATTGTGTCTCAATGTGTCTCCAGTGCTGGCCTGAATCCTCCTTATTTTCAGCTAGATTCTAAAAATGTTGCTAGGTTTCATAACTCTTTAATATATTTATAATTTCTCTTGTCTCTTGAGACTTTTTCGTTTTATGACAAGGGACCAACATCAAAAACCGTTTGACCGCCTCCCAAGCTAGTATTTCTTCAGGTTTTTTTTACATAGATCTTGTTGAATTTTTATTTCAATGTGGAAGTGTTTGTGGATGCAACATTTGACACAAACAACTTATTTGGAAATGAAAATAAAGGAGAGAGTTTAAATAGTTTAACAATGTAAACGATTATGATTTTCAGGGCTGTTTCAACACGATGATGTGCAGATGTGTGTGTATCCCATACCTTGGCTTCAGTTTCCCCTCGATGCAAGGTGTAAAGATGGTGCACAGCGCTCTGTGATGACGCCCATGGGTGGGTCAGAATGTGAAAGACGTGAAAATCATGGCCCAGAGTATCTGCAGTCACCAGCAGCATTCCTACAATAAACAAGCAAACAGTCATCAACATTAGGAATCACTCCGACAGCTGGCTTCAACATTAATTGTTATATCGTCACTTTTACAGTTTTTTTGCATGCAAATAGTCTGTAAAGGCTAAAACCCCAAACTCCCCTCAGGAGGGAGTTTCTCTTCCACACACTCCCCCCCACGCCTGAAACGCCTCCATTGGAATATGTGTTTACTTCGGTAACATAGTGACATCACTATGTAACACTCACGCTTCAATTGGCTAGCGCTTCAACACATTCTACGTGATAGGCTAATGGCGGGACATCTCTAAGAGGTTGACCAATCTAAACAGAACCGGGCCGCTAACCAATCAGAGCAGACCGGGCTCTGGTTTCAGACAGAGGGTGAAAAGAGGTGCAGTGTGAGAAAAATAAATCACTTTTTTAAACATGTCACAGTAGAGGTACAAAATACAAATATGAACCTGAAAAATACCATAATAGGGCCCCTTTAAATATCAATATCCTTGCCAAGTCTTTAACTAGTTTCATCTTACAAAGGTGATACAGTGTAATACAATCATTTGAAAATTGAACGGTTAGGGTGACTAACACACACTTACACACTTTAATTCCCAAGTACATTGTAATTGATAAATAGTTAACATAACTAATCCAAACATTTATAGAATAATAATTAGGTTTTTTTTATAATCTAAAATTTAGAGAAAACTAAAACATCTACTTTTTTTCCTGGCAAAGTTGACCAAAATACTCTAAATCATGCCAGGGTGTTGACACTAGTAAACCGATACACAGTCAGGCCAACCAAAATATTTAAACTGTATTTAGCTCCAGCGGCTCTCACAAAGAGAGCAAACACTACCAACTGCGCAGAGCAAAGGCTAGACAGCATGACAGAAATACTGTGCATTTAAAACAAACAAACCAACCCATTAAAACAAAGCCAGCCATCATTTGTCGATGTCATAAAATGCAGCCTTCATTGCATGATAGCTTGGTGTGGTTAAAAGGAGGGTTTGAGTCGTGTGCTTCCTCGAGGACGGACACGACGATGATTGTCAGTAAAAGAGAACATCCATGTATTCAGACATCCGCGTATGGTCATGGGTGTGTGTGTACACACTTAGATTCACCCCCACAGTGTAACCCCCACTGACAGGCCCATTCATTTGGTCTAATTTTATTTAAGGTCATCAAACTGCAGAAATTATAGGCCTCCACCATAAACAACATGCTCAACAAACCACACCACAACAAACCCAGATCCAAACTAGCTCAGTTAGGAAAAACACAGTACAGCTTTTCAAGCGCATCCCGAAACCTTTAGCAGAAGCTTTGAGATGTAACAACCTTAGATTGGGGCAGTAACTCAAACCGTTGGAAATACATCACTTATAGAGTGTAAGACTTGTAAGAAAAAATATGCAAACATAAGTCTTTTTGACAACTCCCTGACATAAATGATATTAAAGTAATTAGTACTTTTCCTCCAAGTTTTTCCCCCATGGAATTTTTTATGCGAAGGCTACAGTAGGTTTTAATTAGTGGCCGGGCTTTATTGGGTGGCATGTCAAATGTGAAAAGAGGAGGCTGACATGGCATGAGATTAAAAGATTTAGCAACACATGCGAGGGAGATGGAAACACTCCCTCTCTGGAAAGAAAAAGCCTAAAAGTTTTGCACATTCATTCAGAATTAAGAGTTTTCAAAGTTTTGTACTGAGGAAGAGTTATATTTAAAGATGATGAAGAGGTGGAATGAGGGAGGTGGCTGAGCGATGGGGTCATGCAGATTGTCGTACGGTAGGTTGAAGGAGGAGAGAAGAAGAGAAGCCAAGTGAAGTGTGCATTAAGACAGTGGTTAGCTATTCATGCTGTATCAGAGCGACCAGAAAGCCAGAGAGCTATGGCCCAGGGCCTGTAAACTCTTGAAAACCCACGCCCCAAACGAGGTGCCAAGCCACAAGAAGCATTTGCGTCAACTGGGAATACAGAGAAAAAAGGGACGGGGCCCTTCTAATTATAGAGTCTGGAAACGGAAGCGCAGGGTGATTAGGAGTTGAGGCGCTGTGGTCTGTTTATCTCTCGAACCCTCTATCCCCCACACTCCACTCTTTCTTTCTCTTTCTTCCTTCTTTCTGTGTTTTGGTCGGGCCCTGCCCACCCAGTGGCTGGAGAGTCTGGCCCCTTGGTTTCTGACGGATGAGACATGGCCGCTGTGTCCTGGCAGGGGCCGGCTTTTCTCTTCTTCTGCTGATGGTGGTGGAGTCTCGGCTCCAAAAAAGTAACAGCTCAGAAAAGCTGGAGAGCTTTGTGTGTGCGATTGCCTGAGGACTGGGGCTTTTGTGGCCTTGTTGAAATACAGAGGCCCTCGCCGAGAGGCGTCAGTCGGTTAGCCCGCAGGATGGCCAAATTAAAAAGTAGCTGAGCCGCCCGGCGGGTGAAAAGAGAGGGTTTCAGGAAAACCAGAGGCTGGCTGGAGCAGGGTTTGACACGTCCTATTTATAACACCTTGTCCCAGGGGTTACAGTGTTATTTACGATGTTTTAGTACAAAAATTGCTGGCACAAGCACTTAGACATGCGCTAAACTGGAAGGGATGACCTCTAATTTGCCATGTGTGCGAGACATGCATTTGAATGGGACATGAGGGAAGTGATATAATCATTTCCATAAATATCTGCTTTCTGTTTTTTTTTCCCCCAAAAAATATTTTCTTTTGCTGCAGGCTTTGCTGTCCCATCTCTGACCATCCAAACAGAAAACATCTGCTCAATCCCATTAATAGTGGGAGGATGTTTCATTTACAAAGTGGTTGGGATAGCTTTATTCTCGACAAAGGCAGATGGGACCAGGGAGTGGGAGTGGGAGAGAGAAAGAGAGAGAGAGAGAGAGTGCGAGCAAAGCAGAGGAATAAGTGGAGAGAGCAACAAAGAGGGCCATGATTTCCCTACTTGGCAACACAAAAGGCCACAACAAAACTAGTCCACTTTTTAATTAACAACACTAGGCCCAAAAAAACCTTTGAAAATCTGAAAAAAATCAAAAACTATAACCATGTGGAAGGCATGAAGCTCAAACGATGAAGTACTTGTGGGACTTACTGTTACCGGGAGGAATAAACTTCAGAGCAAATGAGCCCAATGCACAAATGAAAGAGTATCCATCGTAAGACGAAGCTTTGTCTTCAGAGCTGCCAGGTTTGGGGGAAAGACAGGACTTTTTGTGGCTGTATGTATTTACACATATGCTGGGCATATACAATACAGAATAATGTTATATTCTAAGAACACAAATAACCAAAGTTTTACTTCGATCAACTAACAGTTAACAATCAGTCATTATACAATGTTTCTCCCGACGTCCATCCACTTACCAACAACTCTCTACTACAATGCTTTACTTTCTAATTTTCTTTGATCACTATACAAAAAAAAAAGATCCTGTAGAATGAAGCAGCATCTGTAGTGACAAAGATCAGAAAGACAGCAAACATCATGCCTGTCCTAAATTCCCATCATGGGATGCCTGTTCATTTTTTTTATTTGATATTAGCATCCTTTTATTCGTCTTTAAATCACTTCACATACCAGCACCTGAATTATTTTCAGATTTATGCTCACTATAGATCACTCAGGTCCTCTGACACTGATTCTTTCATTGATTTCAAAGGTGAGGACAAAGACGTATAAGGAGGAAGTTTCCAGGCCCTCGCCTCTGGAATAGCTCTGTATATGTAAGTTACTATTGCTGAACCTAAATTAGTTCTTTTTTAAATAATTGCCAAATTTCCTAGTCAAAAGCAATGTATTTGTTGTTGAAGAAACAACAAATAGCAAATATAAACCAGAACTATTATTGATATGGTTGTTATACAATGTTGGCAAAGATTGAGCTATCTGACGCTTGAAAAAACTTGTTTGTGCTCTATGGTCATTATAGTATGTACCTCTATTAATGTTACTTATTTAACTCAAATGTATATGTTTGTAACTTTTCTGCAGGCATAAATGCTGATACCAATGTATTTGTTATCCAGTTAAGCCCCATGCAGTTTGCTCCCATGCCGGGGGCAAAACGCAACATCTTGCAAGAAACAGCGTCTGAGGGCTTCTTAACATTTAACAAACTATGAATGTGTCATACCCACTTAATGGGAAGAAACTCAGCTATCAGAGAATATTAACAATTTTTAACTAAACGAAACACAAGGGAATAACAAGCCTCTGAATTAGCCCTGAGCGAAAAAAGGCTAACGCACTTAGCACAGAACTCACCGTAGAAATACTTTATTACTTATCGGATCTGCACAAACAAGATATCAGCTAGATTCCACAGATTCTATAGGTATAAGTATCATCACTGTGCGATCAAAACTTGCGGCAGGGGAAGCAAACCCAGACAACTAGTGATGGCAGTTTGACACTGAAGCTTCGATACGTGCTTCAAACCCTGGTTTTCCTATTCCATAGAAGCAGTGCTTCGAAGCTTGCTTCAAATCACGTGACATATGACGTCCGAAGCAGCAACTGCTTCATTTCCTGAATGAATCAACTCACTGGTTCGCCGTCCAATCAGGTGATTCAATGCACTGCCTCGTCTCGATTCTGACAGGTGACAGGTTGAAACGGTTTTGAATTTGAGCGCTTCAACACTTTATAACCGCTCTAAACAATGCGCAATGTGTGGGTTGTTGTCGTAGTTTGTGTTGTTGCTGTTGAGTTGTTGTTGGTATTGCATTTGTATTGGATCATTATAGAGCAAGCCATTTGCTAACGGAGCTTACAGAAGTGGAGGAGAGCTAGCTGCTAACGGAGCTAACAGTAGTGGAGGAGAGCCAGCTTCTAGACAGCATGGAAGAGAAGGTAAAAAATTATGTCAAGTTGGCCAGCTACAGTACAGTCGAAGACATGTTCGGAGTACTGGAGAACCGTTACGGAAACAGGTCCACGATTGCACTGCAGATCTTTGCAGAACTGGAGAAGATACCAGCTGTGAAAGGAGA